CAGGATGGTCTCGATCTCCTGACCTCGTGATCCGCCCGTCTCGGCCTCCCAAAGTGCTGGGATTACAGGCTTGAGCCACCGCGCCCGGCCTATTACTGTAATTCTTAACCATGTTAAACATGTTTAATTAATGTTCTCTTTTTTGCTCGATTCACCTTCTGAAGACCTTTGGTGGGGGAGTCCGTTCCTGCTTTCACACATCTGTTGACTTCCCTCATGTGGTTCTTTCTTTGCATGTCTTGTACTTTGATTGTAAATTCATCTTCAGTGGGTTTTATGGGTAGGAATCGGAGGGGGCTAGATTGAGAATGTCTATGTGATTTTGCTTCTATCACTGTGCCTGCTTCTGTCATGGGCATCAAGGGTCTTACTGGCCTGGGCCCAGGTTTTATATCAAGTTATTTGCTGCAGGGGTGGTAAGGCCTGAACTGTGAAACCTGTGAAAATTTGATACCTAGGCTGGGCACGGTAGCTCATTCCTGTAATCCCAGCACTTTGGGAGGCCAAAGTAGGAGGATCACTTGGGCCCAGGAGTTCAAAACCAGCGTGGGCAACACAGCTAGACCCTGTCTCAAAAAAGAAAAATTCAATACCTGAAGTCTAACGAGACTCTGAGTCCTGATTATCAATTTTCAACAAAACTGTTTGTGTCTCACAGAACCACAACAGGCAGGCAAACACAGAACCATCCTATTTTCTTCCTATTTTCATCCTATTTCTGTGGGCACATTTGTTCACATCTCTCCTGAGGGTGTAGCCCTTTGAGTGCCCTTGTTCCAGTTCCCGATTCACGTGGGTCCAGGGAGGCCTCGTCTCCTTTCCCATGTGAGTGTGGAGACTTAAATCCCGAGACTCCAGACCAACATTCTCCCGGGCTGCTGCCCTTTGGCTATCACACTTCAAGACCTGGTTTTCAGTCTTCTGTTTGTCTCTGGTTCCTATCACATCCCTGACCTCCTTGTGAGCTCAGCTGTGCATCAAAAGTTTGTTGTTTCTATCTTGTGTTCACAAGTTCTGTTCTGGGAGGCTTTTGGGGTTAGACCATCACAGGTAAAGACAGAAGTGGAAATCTACTTTTGCACTATTTCTAAGATCAATTTCTAGGCTTGTTTTCAGAACATTTGCCATCCCTCTCTGCTCTGGTTTGAATAACTGTCCCCTCCAAAATTCATATTGAAGTTTGATTGTCATTGTGATGATCTTAAGATCATCTGAGAGGAACCTCTGAGAGGCAATTCAGCCACGAGAGCTTTGCCCTCCTGAATGGGCTGGTGCTGTTATAATGGGAGTGGGCTTCTTATAAAAGGGTGCGTTCAGCACCCTTTCCTTTCTCTCTCTTTGCCCTTCTGCTATTCTGTGATGTGAAGATGCAACAAGAAGGCCCTCACCAGATGCAGCCCCTTGAGGTTGAACTGCCCAGCCTCCAGAACCATAAGCCAACAAGCGTCTGTAAACTATAAGTTACCCATCTGTAGTAGTCTGTTATAGCAGCACAGAATGGATGAAGACATCCTCTGTATCATTTTGCAATCCTACAAGAAAGGTGTTCTTTGGTATTCATTTCATCACTGGCTAAACTGGACTCTGGAGGGCTAAAGTAACAAGGCAGGTCTGTCCGCTTCCAGAGGACCTGTCCTGCAGTGGCGGTTCTGGGCTCCCCTGGGCTTTGTGGCACTTTACAGCTTGCAGTCATCCTGCAGGTAGCTGTTATTTCTCTTCCCATCTTATGGCTGAAAACCAAGCCTTTATAGCAGTTATACAAGTTATGTGGCAGTGTTCAGCAATTGTATTAAAAATATTTTAGGTAGACAATGTGGTGTGTATATGTAATGGTACACCAGTCAGCCTTAAAAAGGAAGACAATGCTGCCATATATGACAATATGGATGAACCAGGGCGTTATGTGAAAAACCCAGGCACAGAAAGACAAGTGCTGCATGATCTCACTTACAGGTGAAATCTAGAAAAGCTGAACTCGCAGAAGCAGAGGGTAGAATGGTGTTTATCTGGCGCTGGGGCTGGGCAGTGATGTTGGTCAAGGGATACATTTCAGTTACATTGGAGGAATATGTTCTAGGGATCTATAGTAGGACATGATGACTATAGTTAGTAACAATATATCGAGTGCTGGAAAATTGCTGAGAGTAGATTTTAAGTGTTCTCACCACACCAAAAAACAAGTATGTGAGTTAGTGCATGTTAATTAACTTGATTTAGCCATTCCACAATGTATACATATTTTAAAACAAGTTGTAAACAATAAATATATACGATTATTATTTGCCAATTAAAATATATACATTTTAAAATATTTTAGATATTTGTCCATTTTTGTTTTAAGTTTACTTGTTGGTCATTTTATTGTTAAAAATTTCTTGGTTCTTTTTGGCCGGGCGCAGTAGCTCACGCCTGTAATCTCAGCACTTTGGGAGGCTGAGGCGGGTGGATCACCTGAGAGTCAGGAGTTTGAGACCAGCCTGACCAACACAGTGAAACCCCATCTCTACTAAAAATACATCAAATTAGCTGAGCGTGGTGATGGGTGTTCTACAATTCCAGCTACTCGGGAGGCTGAGACAGGAGAATCACTTGAACCCGGGAGGCTGAGGTTGTAGTGAGCTGAGATTGCACTACTGCACTCCAGCCTGGGCAACAAGAGCGAAACTCTGTCTCAAAATAAATAAATAAAAATGACTTTTTTTCTGTGTATACATGACTGACAACACCAGTGGTTTCCTTTAACACCTCATCAACGTTCCCAGGCACTTTTTGTATTTGAGGTATGTGAAGTAATAGGGTGGCCCTTGTCTTGAGTGTGATACTGAACACACCGACTGATAAAATGGGGGCCTTTGGCTGCACACCAGACGCTCTGGGTACTGATGAGCTTGCCCCCAACTCTGTGCCAGAAATCAGAACGGTGGTCCAGGAGAGTTAGCAGAAAGAGGAGGAACCAGACGCAGTGATCTACCTGGTTTGTCCTGGTGTCAAGTAACTTGGAGTTTTTCTTTCACACGTGGCTGGTACACAGGAGCACTCATAAATACCCCAGTTGAATAATATAGTCCGTTGACCTGGAGTCGCATGAAGCAGCATTCGTCCATCCAAAATGCCGATGCTGCTTCAGAGTGGACTGAGTTTTCCCCCAATCCCAGGTTGTCCCACGTGATGGACAAAAATACCCCGTGTGGGAATGAAGGCTGGCCGGGGGGAACCTGGTGCCCAGGCCTCTGGCATCCCCACCAAGGTGACTCTCCAGCAGCTCCTAGGACAGCCCATCCGTGTAGGGCAAACGCCACGAGACCCTCCTGTGTGCAGGCGCATGACAGGCCCGGGCACAGGGAGGCAGGTGGGCAGGCACAAGAGCAGCCAAACACTGACCCTGGAGGGCGGGGGTCATCTGCTCATCATGGCAAGGACTGGAGGTGGGAGAGGCAGGCAGCGCCTACTGGGGTTGGGACGAGCTGTGCACACGGCTGGGTGCACACAAAGCTGAGGCTTCTTTGTGAGCAACACGGTCACATTTGGGTGTAGGAATCTTGGCTGGAGTTGCCCAACGTGGGGAGCAGACAGCTCTGCAGCCAGAACCACAGCTGGAGAACGAAGCACTTGGAACAAGCCAGGACAGTGGGACGGGCCAGGGCCAAATAAGAGTCGTGATAACGCACTGACAAGTTGTGCAGAGGGACACTGTGCAGACGGAGGCCATGGGGCGTGCTGATGGGGAAGATGACGGATCCCTGGCTGGCATGCATCCCTCTCCGTTCTTAGTTGCCTGTGGAATTCCAGCGAGCTCTGCTCCAGCTACACTGGACATAAAAGTGCGCAGGAAATGGATCCTGGAGAGGAACTGCTCTTCTGGACTGAGCTTGCTGCTCAGGGCAGCCTCACCTACAGGACCCAAAGCCTTATGTGATGTTTGCTGGACACTCAGCCACGTGGCTGCCTGTTGAGCTCTGCCAGTCCACGTGGGAGCCAGGAATTTCTCCCCAGAAGCCTCTCCATTTTATTCACCAATGCCCAGTAAATCACAACCTGACTTGCTGCAGAGGATGGAGTGCCTGGGACCCGTCTGTCCCCAGCTTCCCTGGGGAAAGAGGGGGTGGCATGTCCCTGCTGCCTTCTCCTGGGCTGCCTGTCCATGCCGAGCAGATAGGAAAGTCCAGTGAGGTCCCTGCCTGTGCACTCCACCAACCACATCATCCCTTCCCGGCAGCCTCACCTAGGCCCCTCCATCTGCGACCCCTTGTCCCCTGCACCGATGTCTGGCCTTGGAGGTTGCTGCTCATTTTTCTGGAATTTTCTTAGATCTCGGCAGGGCTGCCCCTCCCCCTACAAGGGCTCCACACGTGTTCCCTCCTTCATGACTCCCACTGGGCTTCCCTGACAGGGCCCCACCCTCCCCAAAGCTCTGGTGACACCTGCCAGGTTTCCTCCAGGCCACAGCTGGGCAGCCCGGTCTTAGAAAGTGGTACGCATGGCAGGCCCGACTGAGGGCCCAGCACTGTCAGTGGGGTCAGAGGTCTTCCCAGGCCTGGAAGGGCAGACATGGGCTTCTCAGGGCAGCGTAGGACGCGTCCTCACGAACCACAGCGAAACTAGAGCAGGTGTCTCTCGGATAGGAGTCTGCATCATTCCGTCTCCAGGCTGTGGTTTCTCAAATTATGCAACTATTTGATCATTCCAGTGTGCTCAGAGTAGCCACGCGCAGAGGTCCTCCCCACAACTCCCCACGGGGTGGATGGAAGCGTCCACTCGCGGCGCGAGGAATATCCCTGGGCCCCTCGGGAGAGTCTGCAGGGGCAGCCCCTGGGTGAGCAGGCCCGGTGCGGCCTCTCCCTGAAGGGACTTTCGGGCCCTCCCGGGTCGGGGCGTCTCCCGCAGCGGGCAGAAGCAGAGCTGGCTACAATCCCTACTCTTGTTAAAGGAGAAACGCGGTCGAGAAGGGGGTTCTCCAGCCCTGAACTTCCGGGGCCGGGAACAGCGCGCTGGGCCGGGCAGGACGCGGCCC